GCTGTCTTCGGGATCTGAAGGATAAATGTAATTAAGTAAAAATTGAATTTACCAGTCTGCATGTGGAGGCTCATCTTTTCCTTTCCCTTCCGTTCCCTTGCTCCCCCTGCCTCTTAAAATCTCTTTTTCCAATCCCCCTGCCGGAGCAGGAACACCTAGATGAGGTTGCACAGGAAGGCGTCCAGGCAGGTTTTGAATGTCTCCAGAGAAGGAGACTCCACAACCTCTCTGGGCAGCCTGTTCCAGTGCTCTGTCACCCTCACTGAGAAGAAGTTTTTACTTCCTTTTCCTTTATACCAACCACCAATAATTTGCCGAATTCCCTTAGCTTGGTTTAATTATTAATTTCTTTGGAATGACTCACATGTAAAAAATAGAGCAATGCAGCAGGGACACAGGATGCTTTTCTTTCAGCTCTGTATTTGTGTTCTGCCTCCCTTTCTCCAAATGGCCATGTCTTTTCTCCCTTTCTCCCCTCAGTACTTTTCTCTCTCCTTTCTCCACTCAATAATCCTTAAAAAAATCCTTGTGGGAGATGGAGGGAAAGGAATTGGGCATGGGATGTGTAGGATTTCATAATGAGAAAACAGAAGGGGGAAGCCCCTAGCAATTTCACAAATTATCCTGAGGAAAAATTAAATTTGCAGGCGTTATGGGGCCATGTTCTAGATCTTCTTAATTCCACTCTGCTACAAGAGTGGTACCTGCCTTTTCAGTTCTTTTTCCCCCATTTTCCTGTCTGTCTCCATCTGCAGTTACTCGTTCATGACTTGGAAAGTAAGCTTTTTGCAGCAGGGGCTGCCTTGCGGTTTGATTTTGTGTGTGAATGTGGTTTCCACATATTTGATATTACGAGGCTGATGGTGATAAAGTCATCATCCCTCTCTGGAGAACTCTCGTCTCAAAATCTGAGACTTAAAACACAGAAAAGATGGACTTCTGTGATAGTGCTATTAGAGTGTTTGGGCAAGATGTGCTTATTATTTCTTAGGTACACCAGCACTACTACTTGCAGAGTAAGGAACCTACATGCAGCTTCTTGAAAGGTGGCTGTGTGCCACCTCAGTTCAGTTCCCACATCCCAGTGCAGTTTCAAGTTACCTTGGGCGCTTGGGCATCTGCGCTATGGATGATTACAGCTCTTCCTCTTGTACGGGGGGAAACAGAAGAGGTGGAAGTGATCTTTTTCTTTCTTTTATCATAGATCTGCAACTCCAGAAAGACAGTGAAGGACCATGACATGGGTTAACACACTGGTTGAGATGAATGTACCCTCTGCAATGGCTGAATCTTTTTTGGATGGAAGCATTTTTTTTGGTCATAAATGACAGCTACACTTGATTCTTTATTAGTAAGAGGTGTTTTCATATTATAAAACTAGGTGTACTTTGCATTGCACTGTAAAAGTGTTGTATAGGAATCATTAATGTAGAAGATGGGCATATGCTTTTGCAACAATATTTCTCTAAGTAAGAAAATCTTTCTTCGGGATGTATCCAGGCCAAAAAGAGAATGGTCCTGCAGTACTGATATATGGCACAGAATTTACTGACTGTAGTGTAAAACAGCAAAAGAAGATGGAAGGGAAAATGGAGAGGCTTTTAAACATATGGATGAATTTTTCTTCTGCATCCTTCCTTTTGGGTGGCCGAAAATACGGTGTTTCTGAGCAGGGTGTTTTCATGTGTTATGTTTTTTGTTTGGTTGGGTTTTTTTTTTGTTTTTGGTGTTTTTCCTCCTGCCAAAGGGGACAGGCATCCTTTAATTCCTGAAGTGATTGTAAAGGTCCATAAGATTCAGAGACTCCATATATCTCATTGCTACTCTTTAGATCTATAAGCAATTAGTTGCTTGGGGCCTGCCAAGGAAACAGGTAGCTTATTGATATATATTAGTCAAATAGTTGTGTTTGATTATTGCCTAAAGTACTAATTGGCTGCTTTCCCCTAAATAACTCATTGTGGTTTTAGAATTTCAAATATTGCACCTTCTTGTTGGTATCAAAATACCTCTTGTAGGAACGATACCAACAGCAGCTCAAACTTGTTCAGGATCCAGTCAGAACATGCTAAATTCACAAGGCTCGTGAGCAGGTCTTCTCCCAGGGCTTAAGGGAACACTGTGGGAGAGGTGCAATCACATCTAGACAACAAAGGAAATTGGGAGTTCTGAGGCTGTGCCTTCTAATAAATGTGCTGTAATACCAAACAGGGATTTAGGTCATTTACTCCCACTGTAACAGCATAAAATCATGTTCAGGCAGAACCTGTAGCATTAACTTTTCCCTTCCACTCTTCCAGTTCCCCTTCTTGGCCCAACTGGAAAAGAGGCAGCACTGTTGCATACAAGTGGCCATTATGCAGCTGGGTGGGCTTCCCCCCCCCCCGCCCCCCCCGCCATTTAACCGGGCTCAGAGGAGCCCTGAATAACATAAAAGCGGTGCCTCTGACAGCTCATGGTGTTTTGCCACAGGTGTCATTTCCCCCAGAGGATCTTGGGTCTGAATGCTGAAGTGAAACGCAAAACAGACGTCCTTGCTTGTCCTTGATGAGAAAGGGGCAAGTATCGCTCAGCAGAGGGTTTAACAGCTTGCCTGTGTCCATGGGGTAATATTAAGCAGTAAAATGTTAGTAAGAAGTTTAGTAAGGGATACGACTTCCACACTGCCCAGTATAAAGCTGTAAAAATAATCCCTGAAATACGCCTCCTCCTGTGATGAAGTGGGTTGTAATTCACCACGTATTTCTAAATGCAGCGATATGCAAGAGAAAGACAGACCACTGCAGCAGGTGATGTGGGAACGGAGAGATTACTGAGTAAGAAAAGCTGGAAGGAGAAATTACTTTTCATGACACCAGGGAGTCACGTTTCAAACTTGGTTTATAATTGTATATACTTTACCTGTCTCTGAAATTCTCCTACATATATTAATGTTATAGCAATCTATATGAGCGAGATGGGCAGTATGCCAAAGGGGGTTGTAATTTTCAAGTACCTCCATATTGTTATTGGAGAGGGGAGGAGGATATCCACTAACAGTGTAATTATGTGGCAATTCCAGGGAAATTGATTATTATTAGCTTTTTATGATCAGACTAACAAAGTCAATGATCCAAGATGAAATAGCAAAAATTAGTGCTTCAACAATATTCAGCAACAAGCTGTCACCAGGTGAGAGCGGATGTATCTAAAGCTGGATAATTCCTGAAACTGAAATGGCCATCTCCCAGCAATTATAACGATGGATGGGCGCTATTAAAGCCTGATCCACTTTAATGGGGGACTCCCAGGATGAGAGGCCATGGAAGTATGCAATGACACATACAGTATCAAGAAGTGGGTGGGCGTTTATTCTAAATACCCACGTCACCGGGGTATTTGCACCTTTAACCAACAGAAAGGCTTACAGGTAGTGAATACAGTTCAATGTCTTCAAGTTGGTTATTGCTTTAACAAAATACTTTGTCACTTTTTCTAACGACCATCTTCAGTCCCCCAAACACAGCACGGAGACTGGACACCTGCATAGTCAGAGCTATCCTTTGGCAGCCACATCTTCCCCCTTGAGGCTCCATGGTTTTATAAATAATAATTGAAAACGCTTCTCTGTGATGCAAGAAGGCTTTTCTAAAAGGAGAGCAAACTGCTGCAATACAATAATGTAGTATTTTTGAAGGTCATTATAATAAAGTAGGGGAAAGAGAATAGTCATTATTGCTCTTTCTTGTAAGTAGTTTGCTTTCCGATATCCCACACTGCAACTAGAACATTATTCAAGAACACCCATCACAGTGCTTAACAAGATTTAATGTACATTTATTCTTAACATGTGGAACATATAAAGATTTTATACTGAATAAATGAAATTCATTAAGCCAGAGGAAAAGGAGGAATTTACATCAAGTTTTTTCTTTTTTAACTACATTATCTTGAAATACAAATGCAGATTCTTGTCACTGAAAAATCTTTGAAGTTGTGTTTCTTCCTTTTTTTTTTTTCCTGTATATATTTTTTTTGTCTGTAGACTGGTAACCATTTTCTTAAATCAATCCATACGTAACCATTTCCACACCTTGTTTTATAAAGCAAATTGTGATCGGCTGCTCTCCCGAAATAGAGCATGACTTTATACATACAGAAACTTGTACATTACCCTCAGTTGTTGGTTTTCTGTGTTGGGTTTTTTTTTCTTTTTTTTTCTTATTTCTTGGAGATATGGCCCAAATGAAAGAAAACAAAATAATTCTACTATCACTTTGTAGATACCACATCATGAAAAAGAAACTAAAAACTCTGTACTAAAAAAAAAATGAGGGTATGTTTAATGTACAACTTCTATATACATCACGGCCCTTAGGCAATAAAAAAATATTTTAAAAAATGATTAAAGGAATTGTGAAGAACTGTCATTGTGGAAGGTCAAAAAAAAACAACCAGATGTAGACAAGACAGTTCTGGTGAGGAAGCAATTGATGTTCATCATCAGGTTTTGCTTAAAAAACTTTTAACTTAAATTTTTTTGTTTTGTTTTGCTCCTAGCCTAATGTAACCATTTCTCCAGAGGAGAAACCAGTATCGTTTTGTATTCTGACTACTGACTGACACCCTCCTTGATCCCCTACACCTACATCACTAGAATCTTCTATTGCACAGAGCTTTGGGTGATGGTATACAAGTTTTTTTTTTTATTTTTTCCTTATTTGAAAAAATAAAACACACAGGAACTTGGTATGTTGGTTATTTTTCACCTTTTTGTTTCAAAGTGGTGAGATTTTTTTTTCCATCATACAATGGTTTGCCATAACAATTTTTTTAAAAAGTCACTAGTTCGCTTCCCAAAAAATATGCAATACAAACATGGAAAAGAACATTGAAAAGGATAATCCATGGAAAAAAAAGTGTGACCTTTGAATGTACTAGACAGCAACTTTGGTTAAAAAAAATAAAATAAAAAGATGTACTTATACACATAGACAGCAAATATTAATTTCATAACTGTTCAAATTAATAATTTCTTTAATTCCCAATTGGTAAATAGTGAATGGGGCAGAGGAGCAAAGATTCTTTTTTTTTTTTTTCTTTTTTTTTCCTTCTTCCTACGTTGGATAAACAAGAACAGAAAACAGCCAGTTATATGTGACCCTCTAATCTCCACTCACACATGCTTGGCTTCTCACTTATGTCATAACTGCCCAATCTGAAAAAGTACATCACAGATGACGGATGCAACCAGAGAGTTCAGGACAGCAGATATTGAGATATCCAGCAAGCGGCCCTCGTGCAAAAGGAACTCTTTTTTTCCACTCTCGCCATGGCCAGCAAGGCCTTGGCTGCCCTGCACATCATGTCTACGCTAGGTGGCTCCAGGGGCGGAGGCTGCATGTGCATGAGGTTATGCTGGCTCTGCTGGTACTGGGCCATGGTGACCCCGTCTTCCAGGAAGCTTATCAAGTTTCCGATGCTTCCCTTCTGCACAGCTATTGCCCTCGCTGCTAATGTGTCCCCCTGGGCAAGGTTCGATAAGAGCGCCATGGACATTTCTCGGCAGACCGGGTTTTTGCGGTCCCCAACGTACCTAACTAAAGTAGCGTAGAGTTTCTCCTGACGACTGAATGGGGGCGTGGCCAAGATAAGGTCCACATTATTGTCCTGGATACTGAGCTTACACAGGGTCTCCAGCACAAGTCTCTGAGGCGAAAGAACCGAGTTGGGCCCCACGGTTGGAAAAGGATCCTGTGCCTCTGCAGACGGGCACACCATCCAGTGCAGCAAGCCATCCAAAATTGGCAAACAGATGCTTTCCGTGTAAGCAGACAAGTCTAGCTGCCCAGAAATGTTGGCTAATGTGACCAATGTATTATCCCTCAAGACCTCGAGGCAGTCCCACCACCACTCATCCTTGCTGCAGGCCACCCCTTTGTCCTCCTCTTCCTCTTTCTCATAAGTCTGTGGTGCTCGCTTTCTTTCTGGATGCTCATGGTGAAGAAGGATCAACTTTCCCAGGATCAGCACCAAGCCTGGATGTTTGGACATTTCGGTGTCATTGCCAGGCACAAAAGACAAGCTACGGACGATATTTGACACACAGATGCAGCGTTTGGCCAAGGAGTCTTGCCAGTGAGTTATGGTGCATAGAGGAGTCTCATCCCGGCTCCTTGGCTCATCCTCTAGCAGTTTAATATTCCGGTGGCTTTTGGCTTGATGGATCCCAAAGGGAAATTTACTGCTCTCTGTTTGGGAACCAGAGTTTGAGTCTTCAGGCAATGCTCCTGGCCGAGCTGAGAGGACATCGTCAATGGTTGCTGTTATACTTTTTTCTTGTTGTTCCTCAGATTCGCCTTTCCCCTCGAGGTCCTTCTTTTTGCTTGGAGAATTCAAGGGAGGAGGGGCTTTCCTGCGCGGAGGAATCTCCATCTTGCTTTCAAAGTGAGTCTGGATATGCTCAGTTGTGTCACCACCACCAAGCTGCCAGTGGAGAAGTCCACTATCAAATTCCTGAACGCGTCCAAGTTTGTCAGATCGGTCAACAACAAATAGATTATTTTTCTTTACAATCTTTATTGGCAGCTTGTCAAATTTACTGGCTTGTTTTGGCCTCTCACTTGGATCAGCAATGGCACCAGGAGTGGAAAAAACAATGCTCTTCTCTTCTCCTTCTACCTTTTCATCCTCCCCCTCCTCCTCCTCTTCATCAAAATAGTCAATACATTCGTCGTTCTCTTTTCCAGTATCCTCTGCCAAGGACTGACTATCATCTTTCTTGGCTGTTTTGTGGTCAAGTGCTTTGTGGCCTGGATCTCCCACTTCATATTCCATAAGGATTCCAAAAATGTCAATCAGGCATTTTCTAAAATATTCTACTAAAAGCTCAAGAAATCCAGACAACTGAGGGGAGAAGAAAGAACATAAAAATCAGATAAATATTTTTGTCTGCACGTAATTTTATTAGGAACACTGATGCATACATCTCTGAGTATTTCCCTCCTCCTGCCGTGGACCTGTGGCTAGGTCCTGCATGGCAGAAGTTAATCAAAGGAAATTCTTCTAGCATCTGTCCAAACAGTATAAAATGTCAAACTAGCATGGCTCCATTTGCTTAAACTGTAACAGCTATGAGAAGTACAGAACTTTATTCATAAGTCTCCTTTAAGCTACAGCAGACATCTAGCTTGGCTGTTCTGTGTCCTTGGAAGTGTCTAGGATTCTTCATTTTCTGTAGAGTGCTGAAGTTTCTAAGTCACTTAGATTTTCTGATTTGTGCTTTTATTAGATGCCTAAAGTTTACAATTCTTCCTCTCCTCTTTTGTCTCTCAGTCTCTAAAACCAACTGTCCTGTAGGAATCTGCAGTCCAGGGTATGGGCATGGATATCCTAGATTAATATCCCATCTCTACTGGAATAGTTCCATTTCTGCCTGGCAATATTTAAAAATTGTTACTGCAGCCTGGTGCTGTAAGTCACCCTTCAGGAACTGTTTTCATTTAGGTTTAATCCTCTTAATTAACTTGTAATTGCTTTCTTAGGGAAAGGCGGTAGTTTGACTTGGTGTTAATTTACCCTCAGTGGCTCTATGATCAAAATTTTTTTGCTGCTATGATGTATTCAGTCTGATTGTCTGGCTTTTAATGCTGTTTTTTTTTAATTGTGGGCTAATAGATTTTCAGCAAAATGTATCCTTTTCTCCATTCTCTTATGATTGCCAGAGCCTCAACGAATTAAGAACTGATGCTTATGAACCGCAGGAATTATCAGTCATCATATGGAGACCTGACTGCCATTGGAAATAGAGTCCAAGGCAAAAGTAACAAAAAATAGATATTGAAAATATACCTGGTATTCTGTGCAACTTAATGCAGTTTCTAATAGAATTCAGAGGAGATTCACCTCACTTAGCTTCAAACAGCCGGAACGGTTACTCACCTAACTGAACTGTCTAGATTCCTTTTATAATCAATGGGCTTTTACAGGCCATTTCTAGGGTATGAATCATCTGACCTATTTTAGATCTCTGCTTCGGGATGAGATGAATCATGCTATAGATATCACTAGTTCTAAAGTTAGGTGGGATGAAATGTACCATTTGTGTCTGTATTTAAAAAGGTCATTATATTTAAAAAATGATGAGTTACACTATTAGTAACCAAGGAATGAATGGAGCAGAGAAAATGAATATTTAATTTGTACAAATTTTAGATGATGTGCATTATCAGCATGCCATCTATTACTACCACTAACAAGACCAATGGCTAGAGTGGGGCTGAAAAATACTGGGAGGTAGCAAGGCAAAAGCACACATTGTTACATCCTATGTTACTTGCATCCTGAGGACAGACAGTGAATTTTAGCCTTTGAATTGTCAATCTGGTATTTCTATGCAAGCTTAATTTACTGGAAGAGGAAACTAAACAGAAAATAAGCAATAAAAAAAAATCCCACAGCCTAGTATGGGACTACTGAATAAGACAAGCAGTCACCAAAAGACAGCCTCAAATCAATTTAAGATAGTTTTGCAAAGTCATTTATGGAAACACCTGTTAATCAAGTTTACTAACATACTGCTGTTTTCTGGGATTGTCCTTTTACGATGAGTGTGAATTTACATGTTAGTCTTCTGTCAGTGCTAAAATTCTTGTATTCCTACACGCTCCTTTCCACAAGAGATACCTTTCTTTCAGGCTTATTATTTCCCCTATTCGACTAAAGCTACCCCTCGTTGCTCACTGTTACCAATCATAAAAAGTTTTGCAATATTCAATTTTATGTTACTTATAATAAATTTTAAAGGACTTCAGCATTTTTGTAGGTATTTTAATTCGTTTTTCTTTCCTTGGAAAGTTGGGAAGTATATACTGCTTTCCCACCTACCTGAGAGAGGTTGAAAGTAGCGACAGTGCTGTCATCATAGAGAAGAATATTAATAGTGTCTAGCGCCCAGGTACTTTCAGCCAAAAGACCAGATTTAAGAGACATCATCACTCTCCAGGCCTCAGGAGTTACTGGGAAAGAAAAGGGGAGAAGGAAAACAGCATTAGTGGATCCTCGGAGACCATTAACGAGTCATGAAAGATTAAACTGTGGCATTCTGAGGAGGCAGAATTGAAATGCAATAGTTAATGAAACACTAATTAAGACTCTGCTTTTGACACTTAGCCCTGTTCAGTTTTTCTGTAACTGCTGCTCAGCCTTAACACTGGATAACATCTTAACAGGGCCATTCTTCCTGACTTTGCTGAAGCAGAGATAATTGCACAAACTTAGAGAGGCTGACTAAACCAAACAGTTGGTAAACAAAGGTAGAATAGAACGTGGGAACTTCAACATATGAAAAGTAACAGGAATTCCAGATAGGAAGATACTTGGGAAAGAACAGGGGAGAAACAAACCACATGGAATGAATAAATGGGCCATTCAAGGGAGGCAGAGACTGTAACTACACAGCAGAACAGCATGAGCTTCCATGGAGCAAGAGCACAGGAAACTTTGCTCAGCTGCATGTTGTACTGGCGATTTAACAGACATCTGGAATGACCTTTCAACACATCTAATCTGGAAATCTGAGGAAAGATTCATTTTTAATGCATTTCTGGAAACCGCAAGTCTCCTTATAAAATACTGCTTTCATTTCGTGTCGGAACGTCTGGGATGAGTTTTACCTATCATCCTCACTGATGCATATGTTATTACATTTTTACTGAGGACGATCACATTACAGTTACCAAAGTTAACTATTTGTCAAAGTAGTCTTAAAATGTAAAAGAAAATAAAAATCAAAGTTCCTTTCTCCCAACCTACTTTGGTATTTAGCTTTTGTTTTGATGCTTACCAATATCTTTTGAGGTAATCTTTCGTCTTGGTTTTAAGACTGGTTGGGATGCTTCTACAGAGCCTGGGGGGAAGGTAATTTCTCGCCTAATCGGTGGAGGTTGGGGTGGAGGTCCTGTGACCTGTGACACTGGAACTGTGGGTATAACCTTTTGCATCTTCATGGAGGGTAGGAAAGGAGACTTGCTTGGAGACATACGGTTTTCCAAAGAGCGCTGGAAGGATGCTGGACTCGGAGCTCTAGAGATGTGATTTGGCATAGAGGGTGGTGTCTGGTAGGATGACTGAGGAGGTCTAGTGATAGGCTGCATGGAGGCTGAAGATGACATATAAGAAGGCTGTCGTTGGTTGACATGAGAAGGCCACTGACTCTCGTGGTTTATTCTCTGGTCAGGTACCATCATATCATCAGTGCGATTCATCCCTGGGTACGGTGGGGCCTGTGCAGGGCCTCCTGGACCTTGCCTATTCTGGTAAGGGTAAGGCATATCATTTCGTGTTGGCCACATGTTCTGCTGAGGACCTTCGCTGGAAGATGACGACTGCATGGGGCCACCAATCATCTGGGGAGGTATTCCATGCTGCTGCATTTGGCCTGGGCCCTGCATCCTCTCGCTGTTGTACGGATACGAATACTGTCCCTGCATGGGCCTCCTGTCAGGCCCCGTGTAAGCGTTGCTGTACTGGTTATACATTTCCTGCTGCTGGTTGCCATACTGCATGTTATACATATCCCCTTCATGGCGCTTGGCTGGAGGCCCATACATGCCATCCATGTGTCGCTTATAGTTCTGAAAAAAAAAGTTGGAAAGAAGACGCATTGCTTTTACTCCATACTCAATACAAATATATTGGCTGAAAGCTCACTGAAAAAGCTGAAGAGCTTAGCTCTAGAGGGGCTATGCTGACTCCAGAGTCAAGCACTCAGTGCTATGGTTAGGCTTGGTCCACTGCTTTCTTTTTAAGACACTGTTTTGCTGCATAGAGAACTTAATGCTAAAAGGAAACTTATCCTTGGGCTAGATTTTCTTGTGCTTACTCTCATTTTCTCCCTTTGCCTTTCCTTTCCTATCTGTCAGATTAAATTCCACTGGTCACTTCAGACACGCATGAAAAGGCAATGGTCCTCACCAGCTACAGTATTTTCACTTCTTTTTTATGCTTAGTCTACTAAGAAGAAAAATCTTTAAAAAAAATTCAACTCCACTCAGTAAATCTTTTCAAGAGACAAGCATTGAATAAACTCTTAAAATAACAGGATATGCTGCAAGCACGCGTGTGTGAAACACTGGATCTTACATAGGGCACAGGCTACACACTGTACATTTATTAGTAGGAAAAAAACATTCTGCTGCATTTGCTACTCTGTGTAATTCCCAGGAATGTGGTCCTGTTTGGGCAACCATCCCTCTTCCCAAATCATCCTAATCACATTTAATTTACCGTGAGATTATTACAGCAAATGGTCACATCCAAATGTTCTCTTCTAGTTTATGCAGGTTCTTACCCTGCTGCTCAGTAATGAATTAAGCAATGTAACTAACAGCTGCCACCTGTGGTTTATTCCCTCTTTGTTTCTTACCCTCTCAAGCGGGGAATGTTGTGTAAGCTGTTTTACTGTGAGGGGAGCCGACTTGTTTTTAAATCATACAAGCTTGTATGTATTCGTGTTTAAGACAGCAGAACAAAAAGAAGACATGTTGCAGTTTTGAGGGGAAAGTGGTAAGGTTTGCAGCGGTGCTTATTTCCTGTGGGAGTTTGCTCCACAGTTCAAACCAAACCGAGTACTCTGGAGCAAAAAAAGTGAATTAAATGGGTGATTGTTGAATATATGATCTATGGCGAATTCAAAGTTATGGCTCCCCCGGAAACTGTAGTTCAGTCACACTGCACAATGTATACTAATGTACTGGAGTTAAGATCAGATAAAATTCTGTATGTATTCAATATGGGTCAGTTAAAACAGCTCTGGGATTCATAAACTCATCTTCCAACTCTGGTGCACATAAAACCACAACTACTGTACTGCCTTAAAGTATTTTTTTTTTAAACTTGCTATAGAGCTCTCTGGTTATCTGAGAAATACCTATTTTCAGCCTTACATAAACTACTTGCTGTAGTCAATTCCACCCTTGGGGCCAATTTATACATTAAGAACTGGCTTGGTAGTTGCCACACCTAAAAAGGTGGTGTTTGTTTTGCTACAGTGACTCAGAGTGCTTGAAGAAGCCACTTGGGACTGAAGCATGTGCCTTTTTAAAAGCAGTTCAGCGCTCGTGGGTATGTCGTGGCAACATGCCTAATGGTACCCAGCGCTGAGGACTGCGATGCACCCAAACTCCCCCTCCTGTGCAAAGGTTTGGCAGGAGACTGCGGCTACACAATGTGTGTCTCTCTCCACTGAGGATGTGGAATTCGGAGACCTTGCAGAAGACAGAAAGACCCCACCATAGGTCATCATCTGCTGCTGCGTGACAGCTCTGGGGGTACGAGCATTTGTATGGGAATTGAAAAACCTGGCTCAAAGTGCTTCATTAGCTCCAGGAACTCATGCTCCACGCACCTCCTTCCCAGGTCATTTCCTAGCCTTCAGGCTGTAGACAAAAGCCCTAAAAGGGCCATTTTTCACATTCTTCCTGTGCTACTATAGAGTGAGATTTAGGAAACTGAAAATAAGCTAGGGGCAATCCAATCTCTAGGTAAATGAAGAAGTGGAATTCTTTGGGAGTGGAAGAGGATCCCTGCCCTTCATTCTTCACTGCTTTCTTGCATTAATTCATTTTGCATTCCAGAGTCATTGTACAAAGCATATAAACACCACTAACAACAGGGCCAAATGTATTTTACAAATTCTAGCTGTCTCCTTGCTTAAATGAACGTGTAGTTAATATATTCCCTGCATACATTAGCATGGAATATCACAAACTGTTCTGTTATCTGTCTTTGCTATTTCCCCATAAATCACCTGGACTGCTAGCATATGCTCATCATAAAGAGCAACAAAACAGTTTTTTGATTATGCTATTTCAGAGATGTTATGAACCAAAGAAATAAGCAAGAAATTCTGGAATTGAAATTTATATACATTTTCAACACAGTGCAAGCTAAGATCTCCTCTTTCAGGTTCCTCCATCACCCTGAATTTTCTAGTAAAATTATCCCAGAGTGAAAAGGACTATCTGAAACTGGCTGAAAACCAGCTTACATTTTCATTTTCGTATTATATGAAAATGCTTTCTATGTTGGAAGCTAACTTCAGCTTTAATTATTGTATGACTAGGAATGAATTAATAATGCGCAGGATGAAACTTGGATACTGTTGAAATCAGTGGAGTTTTGCTACTGACTTATAAGATAGGATTTTGCCCACAAGGTATTAATGATACAACTAACAAAAAAAAGTCTTAGTAATTAACATAATTTACATTTTTAAAGTAGCTGCACAGGGAGACTGGAAAGTACAAATTTTCAACTGTTTTTAACACCAATAATGCTCTCTCTCTCATGTATTTGTACTGTATTATTACTACAGATAACGTGGGGAATGTGCCATCTGATCTGTATTAAAGACAGGTATCTCACATGACTCACCACAGCATTCTCAGTAACTGAGTGTGCTGCATGCCTGTCTGAGCTCCAGTTTTCTGCTGGGCTCACTTGGCTGCATGACTTTATGTTAAGGCCCCTCAGCCTGCCAGCCAAGCAGCTTTCCTATTTGTTTCTGGAACTGAGGCAGCATCACTTTACTTGCCTATGAATTACACTTTCCCAGTCTGCTGGTTATTAACTTGGGACAGTCACTTGATACACATCCTAAGCCACAGAACATCTGTTAAAATTTACACTCTTCCAGTGTAATGAACACGTTTTCCTACTGCTGCATATACGCTGCTTATCTGTATGGGCTGTGATTTTGACCAGAACTACAGTGCTCCTCTGTGCCAAAAGACAGCTATTGTATAAAAATTTTTTTCAATGTATGCAGAATTTTGGGGTGACATTTATTAAACAAATGTTATGAATACCACTGTTTTCTCCTATCCTACCTGCTGCTGTGGATACATTCCAGGTTGATGTCCTCCATATGGTGGCTGTCCTGAGGGAGGTCCTTGTCCGGGATACTGCTGCCCATATGGTTCATGCCTAAAATGAAGCATTCAAATCAACACTTAGAGCTGCTGGAATTTCCAAGCCACCAGGAAAAGCAAAGTGCTCTGATGATCTTACACCTTGAAGGAATTGGCCATTTGGAAACAGGGTGAAAGTATGGTGTGGTACAGTCCTGAGCCTGATGCAGTAAGCTCTGCTGCAGCTGCTGGTGGAAGGAAGGAGGTAAAGCAGCTGACAGAAGAAGGGAGGAGCAGAGAAGGTGCAACAGAGATCCAGAGGTAGCAGTCATGAATGGGAACAGGGTACGGTCAGCAAAGCAGTAAGAAAGGCAGCTGCAGCTGCTGGGAACCTGTCTTAGGTGGAAAAGTATCAGATGTACAGCTCAAGGGTTGCAAGTCAAAATTCTTGTGTTTCAACGAGTCAGCCTTCAAGCAAGCTACTTTATGGATTATTTAACAATATAATCATGTTAACTGCTAATTTGAATTGAAATCGTGATTTTAGTCTGATGGTAGTGACAGAAAGTGAGTACACACTTCATTACAATATATGACATTTAAATACATCATTACTGAGTAAAAACAGTACTCATAGTTTTGCTAATGTTTATGTCATTTTTAATTAAAACTACACAATGAAGCATACACAAAAGAGGCAGAGTTGCACTGCACTTGGAAACCTACCTGTGGCCTTCAAGACCTCTGTGAAGCACTACAGTGCAACTGCAATATTTTTAGCACATTTGAATGAAATTTAGGTTGCTGAAATGAAATACTTGGAAAGATTAAGACTGATAAATAACACTGTATTGCAGACTGATACACCAGGAATTCCTCTCTGTATACCAGTGAGAACATACCTACAACTGAAGTATAATTATGGAGATAATATATCGGGGAGAGTCAGAGAAACAGAGGACTGGGGAACCTGACATGTTCCCCAGAACTAATGGGACCTCATTTTTCTAAATGCACAGAAAACTGGCATTTTTTGAGAGCTGACCAGAAGTGAAGCAATAGCTGTTCAGTATCTCCTAAAATTATGATGTGGATGGAGAGAAATTCTCTAATGCCAGTTAAAAGAACCATATACCTCATGGGAACTGTCTACAGCTGTCCAAGATGGTACACGAAATAAGATAAAACTGAGCGAAGGCACATGTATGTTGTACATAAGGGAACACTTTCTAAATGTCCCATTTGTTAGACACAAGCCAGGTGAAGTTGTGGAAGCTTCAGAACTGGTGAACTGCTCTGGAGAACCAGGGCTCATAAAATACATTCAGTTTGGTGTTGACAGGAAGATACACAAGTGATGATGTATACTCCTTTATATTCCTTTTCTAACATAGTGGATTCTACGGCTACACAAAGTCAACCGAGTCACCCAAGCCTCCGCGCCCTGAAAGAAACCGAACCAATGGCAAAAGCCTAAATAGGAACAGACAAACCAGAATTAACACACCAAGAGGCCACATATTCTGTCTATGTGGTCTCACAGAGGCTGCTAGCACTCATTAGCTGGTTATTGCAGATATTACAAACAGAAATCAGTGTTCACCTTTGCTGGCCAGGGTAATGATTAGGAGAGTACATGCTTGGGTCACTGTTTGAAGGCACCATGTTGCTTTGACCAGGTGGTCCAATACTGCCTTCAGGACCCACCCCATGATCCAACCTAAAAAAATGACAAAGGAAACCCCATTCTGTAAGAAGCACTTATTCTCCAAAATTGCCAACAAAGTAAAACAAAACACACCCCTTAAAGTGTACTTAACTCTCTTGACTTACGACCTTCCACTGGAAGCCCTTACTCTCACTGACTCCCCAGCAATTGACCTGTTAACGACATGATTACACTTGTGCTGCTCTACACATCCACTACTTCAAACCACTGACTGAAAACTACTCCACTACTCCACTCAAAAGACCCACACTGCACCCCTTTGGCTACCATCAGGAAAGAAAAAGCAAAGCTGAAGTACACAGCCTAATGAAAGTAAAAGTAGGAATACAGGCAAAGCTGCAAAACCTACCGGGATACTTAATATAATCCAAACATTCCCAAACCATTCTGCTTGCTATACCAGTGCTCAGACATCAGTGATTTCACTGATTTTTTTTTTCCCAAAGCCTTTCCTGAGATAAACAAAAGAGGATCACATTTATTTTGTGTACTTCACTGAAAGACAAACTTAGGAGCATCCTGATGGACACACTGCAAGACCGGTGCCCCGCAGCTCACACAACAGACTAGACTCTCCAAAGGCAATTCACCAACAGACTACGAACTAGAGAAATTTAGGCTGTGCATTTGGTTTTTCATAAAAAGCCCACCACCGACTGCTCAGGTGAAAACATGGCCCAAAAACTAACTGAAGTGCTACCTTATGCCATCACAACCCAGCCCAGCCACCTGCTGAAGGCAGCTGTCAAACACAGCCATGTGCTGATCTGCTGCAGCTCAAGTGACTTCTAAGGTGGGACAGTTCCTCCTTATGACTTTGTGTGAACAGCTAGACTCACTCATTACCAGTGGTTTGACTCGCAGTGATTTAGTGAGATGCTGCAGGAAGTGTAGGCTGCTACGTTCTCTGCAAGGTGCAATAGGAAAATGAGAAGAGGAGAGAGAGGATCATTTTCACTAATGGGCTTTGCTTTTTCCTGACGATTGGCTCACCTCCTGTCATAGCCACTTCCATAAGGGAACTGCTGTCGCTGGCTCATGCTCATGTTGGACATTGCTCCGGATGGACTCTGGTTATACATATCTTGTATTCCACTGTTAGGCATTTGTCCAGGGGTCATGAAAGGCTCGTTGCTTCCAGGCACTGCAACAGTAAGGGAAATTAAATATATTATTCTGGGTGTCTGAAGATATCTTTCTATTAAATGATGTATTTTAAAATAATGTTCAGATTCCTAACACTGCCAGGGAGAATTAGCTGGTGTCTGACAAGCTCTCCAGGGTTTGATGAAAACACATGAAGCAGCACCACTACCAAGATGATAGTTATAATATTAAGGAGCTGCAAGCGAGGAAAGTAATCTCATCCTATGGAACTGAGCTCATCAGGCACCAGGCAGCTGCTTCCTTGCGGTCTTTATAGCTGAAGATGAACTTGCTCTTGTTCTTTTCACCCAAAACAATGGTAAATAGGAATGGAAAAACAAACCTTACAAAACAGATTAGAGCAAACCTAGTTTGGATTACAAAGCTGTCAGAATCAGGATCTTCTTTTTCCCATAAAGCCCTCATAGACACATGTATACCATAGCTTAGTTATGGACAGGATACTGTATTCTAATGTAGTTTCTCAAGCAGGATGAGCATATTCTATGGGTCCAAGAAAAGCCATGTTGACCACTATTATCGGATATAAATCGCCAATCAAATAGAGGAAGAGACTCTATCCTTTAGTGCCTCATAGCAGATACTGAACAGAGACACTTCTGTTTCGACAGGATAGATGTGAAATGTGCAACAAAGTGCAATAAACTCACTTAATCTCACATGGATAATCTCACTCATATATAGAGTGAATTGAAGGCAGAGAGGGTTTTCCCTTCCACCAGCTGTGTTATGCTAGTGTCCACAGTCCAGGTAAAAGGACATAAAGGGGAAAGTTTTTTAAAAAATCACATCAGATTAACTATCTCTTTTAAAGCATCTCCCCACTTCATCACACATCTTTCTTCCTCTGATTTCTAGACCTCTTCCTCTCCTTCTTCCCTTTTGCTCCCTTTCAGTTTCTGCTTTCTTAATTTCTTCTCCTCCATCTGCTCTTCTCTTTGCAGCCATTGTGAGCACTGCTTGTGTTCTTTCCTCCCACTTTCCTATATACAATGCAAGACTGATTCATTTTAAGCACATTTGACAATATCCACGAAACCATCTGTAGGTTAAGTGCCCAAAAAGGACAAGAGTCAAGTTTGACATTAATTTCAAGTTTTGATTTCTAAGAATAAACACACTTTGAGTGTGTTTACCACCTTTTATCAGGGGCTATCCAAGTGAGAAAAAATAGCTTTCCTATTCAGAAAAATACGTTAACTGAGACAGAGAGCATTAGTAGATTGCTCAGTTCCACACAGTGAATTCCCAGTTCAGCCCTACTACAACCAGGCACGCTGTTTCCCCACTTCACAGTCTAACACCGAAGTCCAGCATCTGATTTGCAGAATAGCTGACCACCTTCAAGAAACACACGGCACAGCACAAAATCTAACCCTATGAATTTATGTCACTTCCTGAAATGTATTCCTACAAGCATTTGTAGGATTCTGTTCAGTCTAAAATAAACAGTGTGACTCAGTGGGGAAAATATGACCAGACCAGAATGAAACACAATTGCACTGCATCTCTCTTTTTGCTACAAGGATATGGTTTTACCAATGACAAAATCAGCAAAGTAAACTAGAACATCTTGATGACATAGAAGTAGGGAAGAACACTTAAGCTCCCACAAAGGAAATACCTTTTCTCATTCCACCGAAAGGATCTTTATTCGGCTCATATGGCATCCTTCCCATCATATCTGGCATGTTTATTCCCTGCTGGTATGGTGCATTGGGCGTCATGGAGTTTCGCTTCGGGAATGCTGAATCACTTACATCAGAAAAGGGATCGTGCACACTAACGGCGCTGTTTCTAGCAGATGAGCAAAAGGAGTCATTAATACCATCAGGTATTCATAATAATTGTGAAAACAGGCTGGACTATAATACATCCAGCCCATGATGCTGTGGCAGTGATCAGTGCAGGATACAACTGAGGAAGATGCAAAAAACTTTCACAGTGGACAATCATTAAAAAAATCTACCCATTTTTTTCCCAAACTTATCTGGCTACTTACCTTAAAGATCAGGGTTTTTAATCTAATTCAACTGTGCATGTTCCTATTACTCATATAAAAGTCTAAACCCTTCTGAAATTTCTCTAAGCTGTCTGCCTCACTACCCCAAGGCAGTGAGCTCCACAGGTTAATTATATGCTGTGTCAAAATTGTATTACTTTTTATCAGTTCCATATTTATTACCTTTCAAATTTACCAAGCACCCCATTGCTCTCCTACAAGAGGAAAGACTAAACAGCAACACTTGATTTACCTCCCAAATACCATTTACTGTTACAGAGAGGCACTAACCTTTATAGTTGCAGCCAGCTTTACTCTAAAGCCCTTTAAAACTTGTCTTGGAAAACGGAGCTTCCTTGATAACTATCAGATTTATTCTTATTGTAAAATACAATTTTTTACATAGTGAAGGAAAACTCAATCTGAATTAAAGATGACTAAAAATGGTTCTTGTTATCCTTTCAGCAGTATTATAGATGGAGGAAAAAAAGAAGCCAAGTATGTTAAGTTTGGAGTGACTTTGTGCATAGTTCAGAGCTGCTGAAGTCAACAAGAACTTTTTTTGCTGGACTTCAGTGGACTAAGGATCCTCAAGGAATGCTGAGAAGGCTTCACTTCAGATGAAGCCAGTCTGTGTGACTTAAAGGACACAGGACCGAAAGGGATCCCTTGGTCCACCCAGTTGAATCCTCTGCTATATCTTGACCACTGTTATTATATATGCTTTTCATCATTTGAATTTAAGTAACAACTTAAAACCACACATTCCTCCTTCCAAAGCATGAATGTCAGGACCTGTATAGCTGTATACCATATATACCTGTATACCAAGGAAATGAAGGTTGTGGTTCTAAGTTGTGCTGCTGGGTTCCACTTTCCTTCCCACTCTTCACATATTCACGTGCTCCCCTTTGCACTGGTGCTTGTCTGATCCTTCTCTGGTGGTTTGAAAGCTAACACAGCTCCTACTCCTTCCTCCCTTTCCCTCTCTCCCCTCCAAAAAGAAATAAATTTTCTGCCATTTTTAAGGTTCTGACCAGTTCATCACAGAAACAGAAGGGTGCCCGAACAGTTGGGAAAGACTGGCTTACACTGTTCTAGAACTTACACCCCAACAAAAAATGAAGAAAAGCCCTTTTCATACCTGCCACCCTGCATAGGTGTCATCTGTCCATGAGGTGTTGATGCTGGTGTTGGTGGCTTCAAATCGCCTGGCACTTCTGTCATGGAATTACTACCAGTAGACTGTGGAGTCTGTGGGCCTTGCAAGGAACCAGAATTAGCTGGGAAATTAAAGAGAAAGGAGATATTAAAAGGTAGCAGCCAAATTCCTGTGGAAATAATAATCATTAAGGAGAGAAACTGGTTCTTTATCCCATAAACCTGCTTAGACCATGCATCTCAGTACTTTCTAATTTCCCCAAAATCCTCTGAGATCAAGATATGTTGTGCAGTAATAGCCATCATCTTTCCTAGAACCATGGATTTAATCTGCCTGAAGCAACATCAAATCATCTAGATGAAGGATCGTTTAAATCAGAGGTCAGAGATACAAAGTTAATTGTCTATAGTTTACAACAAAGTAAATGAAGGTTGTTCTTTGGCACAGCTTCTTTATGAAATCACTGTCACAACACATGCACTTATAAGGCAAATTTCAGCCAGAAGCTTTTCTTCACACATTTTAACTGCTGTATTAATATAAATTCATAATTTCATTTAGCACTAAAAGGCAGACATTTCCATGTTGAAGCATGGCAAATGGTTAGTGGCACATTGCAACCCTAAGCCCTCTTTGAGACTGCATGGCAAAATGTTGTATTTAAGAAATGCAAAAGGCAATCTGGGATAAGAAGAAAGCAATCACTCGAAGTAGAATTTGAACAGAAGGCTATAGCTAACACTCCTAATAAAACTGTGAAAATTGCAATGGACATCTTAACAAACTGTAGTTAGGATCACTGTAGAGTGCAAGTAACAAGTCCAGGTCAATTCTGCAAAGGATCTATTTCATCTGCACAAATTCTTATGCTAAGATCTCTGAAAGCAACTGAGTACCTGCACTACTGCCCTCCTTAACCATGGTAGTTATATTCTTGATATGACAAGGGTTTAAGAGCAGGTACTGTTGTTCTACTCCGATGAGACTGAGCGGTAATAAGGGCATTAAATGAATACATCATATAAGCTAATGATAAAATACATCCAGACCAGTCTTCTAAAGTAAATACTGGAGTTACTATTTTCACGTGACTACTGAGGAGAAACACCGCCCAACCCCAAAGATCTGACATAGTGGTTTTCTGATTTAGAAGGTCGTAAGTGGGAATTAGTAACAACATCCAAGCCTTGGATGTCATTGGCCTTGCAGCAAGAATTCTACCTGAGGAGAACCTGTGGGATTCAAAACTTTACATGAAATTGGGAAAAAAAATTACCAACAGAAAAAAATCACAAATATAATAGATTCAGAAAGACATGGCTTTGGCTTGAGAGGTCCTTCTTTTTTATGAACTGTCATGTAAGAATTTTATAGTGCCTGACTATCTACATTCAACAAGCAATTAACAAAACTTTATCAATTGCTGTTAGAGGGAAAACTGGAGCAAGCGGTATGGGCTTTTCTTCTGTATGTGAAAAGGAGAGTAGTTTATAATTGACTCAGAATCCTAGAACACTCATCATCTTGACAGGCAGAGCTTGTTTTTAACCAAAGAACACCTTTTTTTATATATGTTTCATTTATATCTGTAACACATGGCCCACTATCTGGAAATCAGTCTCAGCAGCAAGTGCATATGTAAAATCCACATTGTGCAGACCACATTGTTCTTGTCCTCAGTCTTCTGAGGCAAGTTTGGATTATGCTCCCATAGTAATGACGTTCAAAAAAAGTTCAAGAAAAGCTCTCTGATTGCATTAATACACTAACAACATTTGCAACAACTAATGCTACAGCTGACTGAAGGCTTCAGTGTTATAATAAAAAAAAATCATTATGACAATAGAAAAAATCATCACGTTCACATAAAATAAGCCCTTTGTCTATATGACCTGAGTGAGCCAGGATCACTCTCCTGCCCTTGAGCTTTAAACACAACTCTAGAGTTCTCCTAAAAAGCTTGAAAGCATTGCTGAGTTAAGTCAGACATCGTCACATACCATCGTGTTATATTAGAACCTTGTAAGTAAACATCTCAGTGTTTAATCTTTACTATGAATAACAATGTGTTTTATATAATCTTCTGTGATTAAAAGAAGGTTTAAAACCAAAAAGAATATAACCAAAAAGAAGATATGCAACTGAGAAGCTATAGAACACGTAGGGCAACAGATGAAATAGTATAAAGAGCTATACAAGGCAAAACTTAGAAAACTGGCAACCAGAATTAGTGGATAATCATGCTTTAAATTTTTTGGTAGCTCAAATTCTGTTCTGTCAAATGTGAATCATACTACTTTCCCTCTCAGATGGGTATTGCAAAGGCTGACTAATACTTTTTAAAGGCCTCAAATAGTTGAAGATGAGATAAAACAAGGAGAAAATGCGTAACTCTGAATTTGATTAAGAACTGTGGCACAAGTAAGGGCTCTGTACTGAAAACTGAGGATAACACAAAATACTGAATAGCTCCTCATTCACTGAGCACTGTTTATTCTGTGCACTAAATGACACAGACATTTTATGGCGAAAATTTCAATGTGACAGCATAATTAAGAGTGTATTGAACTGCATATGCACCAGGAAACATACTTAAGGTTGCACAGATTATATCTCACTTTTGGCATTTCCTAACCTTTGAGCACTTGACTTTACATCAAAGCAATAAACTTCAAACAGTTTTTGGATATAGCACGTGCACACAGGTGCCTGCATGCACACATGTTAAATGCAAACTAGTTACATTCTCTCTCACATGCATTTTATACACATTGCTATTCACAATGTTTTCTAGCTAAAGAATATGAAAACAACTCTCTTCTCTGTAAGAAAGTAACATATTCCTTTTTCATTTTTCACCTTAAATTTTACATTTGATAAGCTGCTCTCTGAAATTTTTATATCTATCCTTGCAGGGGTTTTATTGTGGTAGATGTTTGATTTTGATTGTGGACACTCTGAAATAGAAACTGTATCTTTTAAAGTGCTTCATAAGCTTCAGTATTAAACAAAGAACCAAGAAGGAAGACAAACAACAATGTTCTTTTCAAACAGGTGATCTCTGCTTACACAACTCTGCCACTGATTTGGGGATGTCCAGGAAAAGCCCTGTGTGTACATAGCTACTGAATTCTTCGTCTCGCATCCACATCTAAGCAAGGCTTGTCTTTCAACTGCCATAACAGATTTGTAAAAATATGCTTTTAACAATAGAAAATCCATCCAAAACGAAATAAAATTAACATCTTTGTCAGTGAGAAGGTGAGGTCTTACAAACTCTTCCCCAGTTCACTCAATGGCACATGTTATTCTCAGCAGCATGGAATTATAGCACTGGCATGGCTTTTTCCTTGCATGGCAGTAAGTACTGCTTTCAGGAAAGACCATTTATTTACCAGAACAGAAATATGCAGTTAAAAAAAAAAATCTTTCTCATGCCAGCAATTTTTTCCCTTCAGGGAACACAAAAAAAAAGAAAAGAAGAAAAGAAGAATGCAACCTCTTGAAACTCCATTAATAGGAGGCCTGACATGCTCTCTAGGATATCCCTACCTTTTGCCAGAAGCTACAAATGTATACTCTAAAGTAAACAATGGAAAGGTTACTGAAGGTTAAATACATTCACATACTTCAGAGTGAACAGCCAGCCGCCACGCTGGGAAGATAATTTACACAGCACGAACCCCGTGCCCCAGTCAGGCCGGGCTGGGGGCTGCTGGCTGCAGCAGGGCCCCCCCCGGGCAGGCCAAGCATGGAGGCACCTCTGTCGGATCCCCCATCCACCCCTTCTGACCCCTCTCCCATCTGTCTTCCGTGGGGATTCCCTGGCTGGCCTCATGACACGCTCCATGACATCACCTGCCTGCTAAAAATACTCCTGCCGAGAAGGATGGGTTTGGTTACAGGCCGCTCACTGAATGGCTGTATCGTGTGGTGGTGTGTCACATTTCCCACCCCGCCATCCCCCTCCCCAAGTCTTGTTTCTCTGCTGCCAAGGAAACGCAGGGAACGCTCTCTTGGTGTGCTCTGCTCCCTCTTTCCAAGGCAGGCGTGCAATTTTCCAGGTTTGCTGTCATGAAATCTCCATTGACATCAGGGCCAGCTGCTAAGCGTTACTCAGGAGCATCCTCTGCTGCACCACTGTGCCCATCCTCTTCATTCAGTGTAGGATAAACTGCTCAGTCTGGAATTTTGAGAGTGCCAAATAACTTCTTCACGCTGGTGCTTTTTTCAAATTTGTTCTCCGACACCCATTAGTGCTTAGCATAATGGCCCCCAGAATTATTTTCAGTTTAGAACTTGCTATGTAATTGGTGCATATTTTGGTCAGAACTATGAAACACGCATGACAGGAAGAGGATTTTGGCTTTGCAGCCACTTCTGGAAAGCACTGGAGTCCAAGAAGAATGCTTAAAAACACCTACAATGCCTCTCTCTCTCTCTAGGGGATTGTTTACACAGCAAAAGAGCAGTCAACAGTTGACGTGGTCCTTGGCACGGACTCAAGGACCAGGACATAAGGCCAACAGGAGTCCTCTACTCGCTATTCTGTCATTAGGCATCTGCTGACAGTGTTATCTGACCCAGACAGTTTTCAGCTGCAATACAAAGGCCTCAGCCTACCACAAGCAAGCCTCCAACTTGCACAGCCTCACAGAGCAGTGCAAGCCACGCTAAAACACACGCAGGCCCACATCTCTGAGTTTTATAAAAAAAAAACAGCAAAAGAGGCTCTGAGAGTAGTACGAAGCCAGAACATTTATTAAGATAGGCAGCTAATCCTACCCCTAACACCTGGACTACTGTGCAAACCTCTGCTGAAGAAAGCCACCCAGCTTGTCACTTTGCTGCTCTACCCTCACTCCTTTTTTCAACTTATGATTGCTGACACCATCCTGAATTGCACTGTAGATAGCACTAAATTATTCACTCCTTTACATACCATTTACCTTATTAACGATGTTGTAAAAACCAGAAGTAATGCGAGAATCCCAAATACCGTGCTACAAGCAAATGGAGTAACACATGGACCTAGACCACTGCCTGGCATAAATCTGACTTACACACCACATCCTTTCCTTGACCGGGCTCCTCTATGGCAATCTCCCCACTGTGGTTGTTGCAGTATTTCCCAGTGTTTCCTCTGTTAAATGCATTCTAAAGGCTGTCTGTGAGGCAGCTGCAGAATCACCCCACGGATGCAGGACATCTGCAACAACTGATTTGCTATGAACTGTGTGTCACCATGCTCCCATCTTCCATAACATCTGTGTGGGAACTACCTCCACGCAGGAACTGAATTCTTCTCTGTACCAAGAAGGCTGCCAGTCCCTATATATTCTTTTATATAT